ATTAAAATTAAGATTAATATGGTTAAATAAAAAAAAACGAAGTAATTTTGTATTTATAACGCATTATTTAATAAGCAATAGCACACACTTTTTTTATTGAACTAAAAAATCTTAAATATTCAGAGCTAGAAAATTTCGTCAAGTATTAACAATGTTTCAGTGGGTACCATTGAAATTTAACATTATAAAAATACGTTATATCAAATCCACATTTTTATTAAGCGATATTAAGGTGCAATTTTTTATACAGATAGCTTTAGACCATCTAAAATAGTTGGATTTAATTAGAAAATTCAAACGAAAGCTAGAACTTATTGGTTTTCACAGCGCAGCTATTGTAAGTAAACGGCAGATGGACACGTGTGACGTCAGTTCGTGCATAATCACGTGACTCCCCGTTTCAGGCGAAAACGAAAGTAAGCGTTTTTTGATCGAAAATAACTAAATAAATAGTCTTCTTAGAAAAGTAATAAAATGATTTTGGGAGTTTTGAGGGATTCTGAATGCATTAAAATTAAAAAAAAAATTGACTGTAATTGCCCATTTTGCTTTGTTTTGTTTATACTAAACTCTTAATATCTTATTAGGTTTTTAAAACAGTTACACTAAAATGAATTTTATTTTTTATGCGATGTTAAACAGGAAACGAAAATTATACCATCTTTTTTGTCGTTAGCGTGTTGAATGTCTCGTCAGTCATCGGTGACTGATACTGAACTAAGCGTCAGTCCCTGGTACTGAGAGTGTCACACATTGTATAAAACCGAACATTTTACATATTTTTGATTGCTGCATTTAAATTTTCAATCGTCTTTTAGAGTTCGAAATTATTTAACTTAGTTTTGTTTAACTTTTAGTTTTGTTTGATTTAGCTTTCACTTATATTTAAAATTCAAACACAAACCTTTAAATACATGAAACAAAATGGTCGAATATTTCAAAGGTTTGTTTCTACGATACCAAATTATTACTGCATAGTTTTGGAATGAACTAAAGAAGTTTTTATCTATATTCGAACTCAAGTTCCCTTTACATTCCTCACACGTCACGTATGTGTAGCTTTTACAGTTGGGGTGTTTGCAAAGGATCTTGACCCGAAAAATCGGCAAAATCCAGGCTATCAATCCTGTCGAATAGAATATCCAACGCCATAAATTTATCAACTGTCATCACTTTTCGTTTTTTTTTAGTCAACGCAGGTTAAGAGATTCATCTTAGGATATTTGTACAAAAAAATAGAATGAGAACCTACAAGAAGGACGGGACATACTTAATTGGTATTTTTATAACATGTGCAATTACAAACTATAATATCCAAGAAATATTGCAGACGTGCAAAATGAAATAGTAAAGATATTGCTTGCTGGTCTATCGACAAAATTATATACTAACTATGAAGATTTACGCCTTAAAGGTATTAAAAACGGAACAGAAATTTTTATACGGATATTTTCATTCAAAGCTGTCATTATCTGTCCTGTTAAAATAACAGTAGGCATAAACTGGCTATACACGGTATAAATTCCTTACAAACTTAGCTTTGCAGTTTTACAAACAGGCATCGTAAATAGTTTATAACATTTAACAAGTTGTTACAGTAATCACATATAGAAAAGCATCTATAACTATATTTTCTTACGTTATGGTTATTATCAAAGATTTTTATGGCATATGAGATAATTCTTCTAGACAAATACGTTATTTTCAATTGTTTATTACGTTATTTTGTGAAATTGTAACTGTTATTCACGACTGAGATTTTGTTCGTGTTCAGGCTCTTGCTGTCTACACTGAGAAATGAAGTGTTGCCAAAACTCTCAGAATATGGTAACATTTACCGTATTCCTGGCTCTAAGTGAACACCAAAAAGGTCGGTAATATTTACAGAAGTACTTTGGTAATTATTTTGATAAAGTTAACAATTAAATATGGTTTTATGATGAATAATAAAATTTGGCTATTGTTGTAAAATTTGGTAATTCTCTCATGATACTTTAGAGAATTTCATAGAAACATTTATTTAGTTCAATTTTTTTCCTCAGTATTGTATTTGTTTACTAAATGTGCAGTAATAAGAACTATAATTTTGAAAACATGAATTTCCACAAAATCGTTGTTATATGATCGGACAAAATCATCAAATAAATACACTGGTTATCATAAATTAAGGAAAAATCACAAAAATAGCGATAACTCTTTCAAAAGTAAGCCAAACCGTGCAAAATTTGCATATGTTGTCCACTAAGAGTAGCTGAGTAAAATTGCAATATGCAAATTAGTGGCACTGCACTCGGCTTACGTCATCTGCCTGGAGCATAAAAGTCCAAGTTTGAGAGAAAGCACAAAAATTTTACTGTGATTGCGACATTGAAAATCTGAGATAGCCAATTCGTAATAATGACTTCTAGGCATCATTTGCCTGAAGAACTACGATGGAGAGCCATCGGGAGACTAGAGGCAGGGCAGAGTCAATCAGAAGTGGCCAGATG